GGGATGCGCAGAGTGCCAGACCTGTGTACCCCTGTGGCTTGCTAGAGACCGGGGGGGACAGTGCCTGCCCGGGCCACACAGCCAGGGCTATGCCAGGTCAAAGGCAAACATCACAGCCTTTCTTGGAGACATGAACCGTTGCAATGACACTACCAGGGACTCGGCTCCCTCCCTTGGTAGGCTGGCAGGATGGTCACCAGAACCCGACAGCTACCTGCCGAGATTGCAAGGCTTCTGGGTCAGGGCCACCTGGCAGAGGGTCTGGTCACTGCCAGGACGGGCTGGTGTGCTGATCCTGGAGCTACTGGGAATCCTGGGGCCAGGACCTCCCTGCGGCTCACAGCCCTGTGCAGAAGTACAGGGCCCTTCAGAGTGAGTGCCCGGAGCACAGGAACAGACCCTAATGGTGAAAAGGACCACCATGCTCAGGGCTACCCTCCTGTTTGCCCCTCACTTCTGAGCTTGTTCTGCATGGCTGGAGCAAGACGAGGTTTGAGGAAAGCCACTCCCACCACCCCACCCCGTCAGACTCCAAATTTTGCCCGGAGGACCTGCAAGCATCCAGATGGAGCAGAGGGCCTAGCCCAGGAAACCCTAGTATGGCCGCAGCCATGGCTGGTGCTGGAGCTGGCCCTGGAGCCGCTGGACGGGGCCAGACTGGTCCAGGGCATGGGATGGGAGAATGGCGGGGCAGACTGGACACCAGGCAAGGTGCACAGGTCCTGCCACTTCTCACCTGACCAAAGCTAGCACTGAGCATGCCCACAGGGAATCACAGTACCTGCAGTATGTCCAACATTTTCAGTGTGCAGATTCAGAGAGGGCCTGGCCACTGGGTTCTCAGGCCCTGCAGAAAGAGTCAGACCCCTGGAGACGGTGCCACTGGGCTAGTGGAGACCAGGCCAGGCAGGAGGCCTACAGGCTAAGGAGCCCTGAGAGCTGAAGAACCTTGTGAGAGCACCAACTGGCTTGGTGTGTGGGAGTGGCCTGGGCAGGCGGGAGCCAAACCAGGGCGGGCAGCTCTGCGGGTGAGGCAGCCCTGCCTCCCTGAGCACCTTGGGCCAGGAAAGGCGTGGCCAGCGAGCGCAGCCAGCTCTTCACAGGCTTGGGTGTGCGGGCGACAGAGTGGCAGGAATGGAGGCTGTTAGCAGCCTGGGCGTGCTAATTTGGCATGACACCCCTAATGGGTCATGTCTTCACACTCGAGTTGTCTCATCATCTAAATTCTCCTAACAAATTTACATTTCATCTCAGACTCCACGTCCAACCAACTTGTCCATTTTGTGACAAAAGGGGGACTGTTTTTTTTGCTTCCCCTGGACATAAGCACCTGCCACCTGCAGGTGGCCCTGGCGTCCTCATTCTCAGGGGTCGCCCTCTCAGCCACAAGGCTCAGCACATGCTGATGCTTAGCACTCACAGCTCACACCTGACACCCTAAGCAGTGGGCTGGGGAGGAGGCTGGGGCATGATCCTGGGCCCAACACCTCTCCTCCACCCACCCTGTGGCCCCCTGCAAAGCCCCTGGCCTGGAGGGGTCTTGGCCAGGAGCCTCATTTTCAATGCAAGCAGCAGTCAGCAACAGCCCGGGGAATGAGTCAGCAGGCCAGGCCAGGTACCACCCACCAAGACCATGCCCTGGGCATCCAGTCCAGACCCAAGGGCAGGATCATGAGTGGATCCTCCCCTCAGACACCTTTGCCCATGCCCCCGAAGCTTACCATACTCAGCCCGAAGGTGGCTGGGGATGTGGGGCTCATACCCCTCCTTCTCCGGGACTTCGACAAAGTCCTCATCCTCCTCGTCATCCCTGTCCCTTGGCAAAATCTGTGGAGATACCCCAAGTCATGCCCAAGTCCTAACAAAAACTCTAGGCCCCACATGCAAGGCAGCCACAGGCAGAGAGTCTGGGCCTTTCGCCCACACAGCCTGGCCACAGCTTAGGTCTGACCCCATGCTGGCTGTCCAGAGACTCCAAAGGACCCCACCTGCTGAGGCCTGAGACCTCAGGAAAAGCCAAGCACCTCAGGAAAGATCACACCTTGCTGGGTGGCACTGAGGCAGGAGGCCTGGCTTCCCCAGGTCGTGCCATGGCTACACCAGAGCACAGTCATGCCAGGGTTGTAGCAGCCAGGGTCAGCACTTGCCCCCCAGACTGCACACACAGCCCTTGGTCAGGGCCTTTTCCTTCCAGCGCAGCACCCATGAGACTCAGCCTTCCTGAGACTACAGGGCGCCAGGCACAGACAGGGGAGAGCCAAGGCCCACATCCAACCCATGGCCACAGGGAGTCTGTCATATGAATACCAACCAGGGGACTCCAGTGGTATCAGCACTGAAAACCCTTGCTACCTAACCCCTCCGAGGCACTTACTCCTAGCTCTCCCTCCTGAAGGGTGCAGGAGACTGGGGAGGGGCTGCTGCCCGGTGTCCTCCACAACCACCGGAGCCAAGTACTACACAAATGACCGCTGGATAAGAACAGGGGCCTGCGGCAGCCTCACCTCACCTGGGGAGAGCAGGGCCCTGTGCACACATGGCCATGGAGCCCAGGCTAGGCAGCCTCGTCCAGCCAAGCAGGGCTGGATGCCCCTGCTGGAGGCTGTGGCCCGCCTAGGAGCATAATCAGATGCAAATGCACTTTGTTTAGGTGCGGCCCACGGCTGTGCATCTGGGAAGCACGGGAGACATTAATCATCGGAAACTGTAATTTTTGTTATCAGTCTAACACTGATCAAAAGGGAAGCCTGTCTCCACCGCTGACCTGTGAAACGTCCCAATTATACTCTTTGGAAATGACAGGGGCACTTAACTCCTGCGCTGAGCAAATGACGACGATCAATCACGTTTGAATAACAATGAGCCACGGACCTGAAAATTATTTTTGTATAGAATCTACCCAGGAATTTATGAAAGGTGGAGAGCAGCCCAAGGTTTTAGGGCATTACGGTTCCCAGCTTGTGCAGAGCGGCTCACATACTAAACAGAATTTATGTGTTTTAATTTTCTAAAAGGTAGATGTGGACTGGGTGCTACAATGCATAACATATAGTGCCAGGTTTTAAATATGGGGGTCATTTTCATAAAATATTATGCTTATTGCTTACACCCTTGAATTTCACCTGGGACTTTTTATCAAATTTTCATTTCCTAAAAAAATATTCAACTGCTTAGCTAACTATTAGGAATTACACCTCTCCTTCCCCAATTGAAATCGTTTATTTCTGGTTCAATTTGAAGTCCTGGGTTCCTCTTTGTTCCTACATGAGCCCTGATGGGGCTCTGCTGCCTGCTCTCCCTCTGGGGGTGCTGCCCAGCTCGCTGCAGGCCTCCGCTCTAAAAAGACCCCAGGGCTTTCTCTCAGGTGGAGCCAGCAGCTGCTCCCTTCTACGGTTTACACTGAAACTACTCAGAGACTGCACCAAGCACGCCAGCAACCGCAATTTACTCCGATGCCAATGCAGACCTTAAGCTCTCTCAGGTTTTGTTCCTGCTGATAAACAGGGAGGCCAAGTTCCCAAGGACACCTGGCCCCTCGCGGCACTGCGGATGTCGAGGAAGCCAGCAGCTCCATGGACACTTGTGAAACAGAGGGGAGGGGAGCACAGGCTGAGGCTGGCAGCAGCCTAGGAGGCCCGTAGGAGCGGCTTCGGCTCAGGCGCGAGGTGCCAAGTAACGCATGAGGGCACAATCACAAAGGTGGCAACCTGCTCTCAAGACCACTAATGAGGGCAGACGAGCCAGCCCCAGAGTGGGGCACACAGGGCCACAGCGCCCCAGGGACGGAGCATGGAGGCTGGACGCCTGAGGGCCCGGGAGGGAGCCCAGGCCTTCGCACCCGCCAGCGAGGCATCAGGCTGAGGCCCGGGTCTTTGATGGAGTCAGACTTGCACAGTGTCTCAGGAGCAGTCTGCTCTTTGAGCGCGCCTAGGCAAAGAGCAACACTAAGCCCCCCGCAGGGGCAGAGAAGGTGCCCAGGACACGCAGGCTGCCTGGGCACCTTTGCCCACATCTTCGACAGGTGAAACCCCAGCTGCCCAGGAGGGTGGGATGTGAGTCAGAGCCTGGGGGCCCACTGGAGACTGCCTCTTGGGATGTCCCCAGGTGGCCACTGTAGACACCCCTTCACCCTGGCACCAACATCGGGGGCACACTGCTGGTTTCATGCATATTGATTCGCACTCATAGTTAAAAAGATTTAGAAAAATGAGTCTCCACGATCATAATTAAACAAGCAATAAAACGGCTAAAATATACAATGCAATCAGTTTACAGAAGAGGGGCAGTGAGGTTGCTAATTATTTGTGAAGGAAAAGGAAGCACTACGTGGTGCCTGGGAAGCGGGCGCCCACCCAGCCCACGGCCTGCAGATACAGCTGGGACCATTAAATAAATTTTGTACGATCTAATTAACTGGGTGCGCAATCTCAATTACTTTTCACCCAGGAAATCACTTTTGTTCAGTTTTATGTGTGTCTATTTCCCTTTTAAAAAAAAATGATGTAAGGCCTCGTCAGACAAGTGAGTTCCAAGCTGCATTTGTCTTTCAGAGGCTTGATGGCTATGCATTTAAAAACCCATTCTATCTTATAAACTAAAAATTAAACGTGCTCAGCTGTGATGGTCGTCATTGCATCTGCTATTTATATGCTAATGCCCTCCTTGGAAGGCCGTGCAAATTGCCGGCCAGGCCAATATCTCATGTGCATCTCCGGCTGCCAGGGACGCACCTTCAAAGGACAGGGTGGCTGCGCCGCTGACCACGTGGACACGTGGACGCAGACACCCGACAGAAACCAGCACCAGACCTGCAGGACGCAGACAGGCACCTGGAGTGTGCAGTCACCTGCCAACTGGCCTGAAAATGACACTGAGCTAAGCCATTGTCTTTGGGAATGGCTTTTTATAAAATCTACATTCATCCCAAGATCTCACGATGACACTCCACAGAGCAGAGAAGCACAGTCCTACAGCAGCCTGCACTTACAGCTGTACCCAAGAGCTGTGTCCAGCCCGCTGGGGAATGAGGCGAGCGGCCTGGCCATAGGCAGGGAGTCTGGGTCCAGGACCAGCCAGTTGAGTATGGAGGACACACTGCCAACCACTGAAGGCTGGAGCCGAGGCAACCCAGAATAGCCTCGGCTGGGAGGCCGAGTAAGATCTATCCCTGAAGAGTGGGGCAAGAGTGGTGCGGAGAAACGTCATCTTGGGGTTGTCTGAACCCTACACAAACTGACATCACACCCAATGGAGTGTGTAATCGGCTCAAAGCCACTGGTACCTCGAGCCTAATAACTCTGACCCCCCACAGGCTCTGACAAAGCCTAGGCAGGGTAGGAGGGGAGCCTCCTTATGCCTAAGGCACAGGGCACCCACTGCAGCCTGCTGTCCTGGGCAGTATGGCCAGTGCCCAGCAGCGGGCTGGCTTCAGGAAGCAAGAGAGCATGCTCTTGTGTGTCAAGACACCAAAAACATGGGGGGCAGACACCAGGTGGCACTCCTGTCCGGCTGCAGAGGCCAAGCTCACACAGGCCTCCCAGTCTGTAAGACAGCGATAGAGACAGCCTGCCCCAGTCCACAGCTGGGGCTGCTTCCAGAATTAGAGGGGTAGCCCACGGAAGCGCTGGTAACTGATGCAGATGCAAACCACAAATGGAGTGCCCAGCGGATAAGGGCAACAGTGGTTGGCATGGACTGGGCCAGGCCTATGATGCTCTCTCAGTCCTCATGGCCTGACTTCAAGGGATGGCACCTGAAGCCCTCCCCCAGCCTCGCAGCAAGACCCGGGTGGTGGCGGGGGTGGTGGCCGTGGCACAGGCTCGGCCTTCAGCGTGATGGAGAGGGCTGCAGCTCCCAGGAAGGTTGTTTACCGGCCCTGCTGCAGCACAAGGCTTCCTACGGAGACTGATTGAGTTTCCCTGCCTTCCCCTGCATGTGCCTGATGGGGTCAACATTTCATTCCCTGGGGTTTCCGCTTCTGTCCTTTTCACCTACAGGAGGCCAAGCAGCCATGGCTCCTCCAGCAGCACAGGGAAAGGCCCCAGCACCGCGGGGCTGGCTGGTGTGCAGTGCACTGGTGGTGTTCTAAAGCAGAAGGTGCCAGCAGCGGACCTGTACAGGGTGGCCTGCACATTCTGCAGCACCGCCTCGTGTTAAATCAGTCTTCCCAGTGACAAGAGAGCAGGGTGCTGCCTCCCTTCTCGGATGCTGTCACTCAGCCAGCTCTGCATTCAGAAGAACACCAGCCCACGCCCTGCACAGTGGCCCTGCGAGACCCTGCAGGTCAGGCAGCATGCTGGGAGGGGCCTGCCCACCATGACCACATGCACAGAGGGGACCTGTGTGCAGAGAGGCTACGAAGACAGCAGCCTGCAATACCGGCAAGAGGGAAGGCTGCTGCCTGAAATGATCCCTCTCCACCCAGCCGGTGGGAAATTAGTATTTTGTTAATTACACAATACGAAATAACTGGTGATCTGAGCTACATAATTAAAAGACAAGCAATTTAAAAGTTTTCAAAGGGTTTTTATCAGTTTAACGAATGAGCCAGCCCTGGGTTATTCTAGCTCCCATGTAACAGAGTCAGGTAGAAACTAAATCTACCCAATGACCCTCCACATCGATCCAGTCCAGATTTATCCTCAGCTGGCCTGCAACGGAGCTGACACAGAGACACTCTATAAAACAAACACTTAAACATATTTAAACTGGCTTAAGTATTTTCTCAAGACAGAACATCCATGTCAAAAGGAAAATGCTATTATGTAGGAACTGCAACAACAGACAAGAAAGGGAACCAGGATGACAACCTGTGGCATGTCCCCATGGACGTGAAGGCAGAGGGAGCACCCCAAAGCCACTGCTGGCCATTCAGGGCTGCTGTGATAAGGTTTTAACGGGTAACATCAGATGTGTTTCGGTCTCTTACACATTCTTTAGAAGTTCTAAAATAAATATTTAAATCATGCATTATTGAATTAGTGCTGCCTGCTCAACCTGTTCTACACACAGTTAACGATGCTCATCCCATGCTAAATGGGGGAACACTGAGGAAGTGATTGAAACCCTCCGTAAATTTTATTAGAAAATTAGCAAAGAACACCTTGTTCATAATTTCTAATTAAAACAGCTCTAATTAGCCCAGCCATTCATTAGCTGGCCCCAACTGGCCTACATAGGCCACTGCAGATGGAGCGTGGCCCCGGCAGGCGCCTGGAGCAAGCAGGGCTGCAGGAGATAGGCAGATACCGTATCTATTCTGGGAAGCAAGCAGCGCTCACCTGAGCCTGGCTCTGCCGCTCTCTGCCACAGCCGCCAATCGCCTCATCTGCAGGCGGCTCCCTGCTCTAGCAGCGGGAAGCAAACTCCCCAAGGATTCTGCAGCACCGCCTCGTGTTAAATCAGTCTTCCCAGTGACAACAGGGCAGGGTGCTGCCTCCCTTCTTGGTTGCTGTCACTCAGCCAGCTCTGCACACTCGGAAGAGCACCAGCCCACGCCCTGCACAGGGGCCCTGCGAGACCCTGCAGGTCAGGCAGCATGTTGGGAGGGGCCTGCCCCAACAGCAGGCCCCACAGCTAGGCCAAAGTGTGGTCAGGCCAAGCTAAACACGCTCCACTCAGACACATGGGTGAAGACAATGTTCGGGGTTGAGGCAGGGCCAGCAGGAGCAGCAGGGCTTCAGGCATGGGCTGGGGGTCTTCGGCAACGTGCCATCCTGGGCTAGACACCATGCGGGATTGTGGTAATGGCTCCAGTGGGGCCAGATCTGACACCACTGTGTGCATGTCCTACAAGAGCTTGGCAACAGCCTAGACCTGATGGGAACAGTGCAGCTGGTACACCCAGCCCTGGGGCACAACTGGGGCACGGCAGCAGGAAGCTGACATTGAGGGAGAAGGGGGCAGTGGGTGGGCTCTGGGCAGGTAGTCAAGGAAACCACAGAGCATGGCCCAGGCCCAGTTCAGTCTCCCTGGGTGCACAGCTCCCAGCAGACGGGGTGGAGCTGTGGACAGGAGGGCTTCAGTGTATTGTACTCTGGGGACCCAGTGCAGTTTGAGGTGCTGGCCTAGCTGGCCCGGGGCCTAGCCAGGAGGATGGAGGTCTGCTCTACTGCTGTGCCCAGAAGGCCCACACAGGCTGGTGATTTCTAGGCCTGTGGCGAGCAGACTGTGCTGCCTTGGGGTCCCTAAAGCCCTGGGGCCATGCCCTGGAGCACCAGCTGCCATAGCCTGGCCACTAACAATGTGACCACCATGGACAGAAGCCCTGACAGGAGGAAGCAGGTGCGCCTCAGCAAAAGGCCGCATCACAGGCTGGACCAGAGGCATCCAGAAAGGAGACCCCAGGACTCACCTTGGGGCACCCTAGCTGCTGACCTGCCCTCCAGAGCAACCATCTCCCTCCACATTAGGCTACCACTCTGCACTGTGCTCGGAACTCACAAGCTCATTTTCTGCATTAGTAAGTGGAAGGTACCATGGAGCACCCACAAAATGGCCTGTACATTCTGCTGCAGCCTAAGCTCCCCAGTCCTCACAGTACTTGGATTTGCAAGTTTAAGGGAAGAACAACGCTGCCCTCTGCTGGCCGGGGTGGGGATCTGCAAGCCATGCTCAGGAAGGTTCCAAAGCTGAGACTGCACCACCTGCCCTGGGGGCACTGCCCACGTGCCATCAGAGGGCTCCCTGAGTGCTGGACAGGGTGGTGTCCTCCCTGGGTGCTAGGCTGGGCCTCTGGGCAGCTTCAAATGTGATCTTTTCGTCAACAAAGAATAGTGCTCAGGGCCAGGGAGATAGCTCCATGGCTTAAGCATTTGCCTGGCAAGTGCAAGGTCCTGAGTTTGATCCCCAGTACCACAAAAAATAAAATAATAAAATAATAAAGTAAAATAATAACAACAGTAGTGCTGTTTCGAACTGAAAGTGATCTTCAGAAGTACCAGCAGCAGGGCTAGCACAGTTGACTTGGCCTGGGTCTGGGCCCCCAGGGAGTGGTTATCGGGGGTGTATCCTCAGTCCTGAAAAGCAGATGAGAGCCAACACAGGGCCAAAAGGCTGGGCTGAGGGCCGCCACTGTGGATTCCCAAAGTCGAGCGGCACTAAGTGAGTCCCTGTCCCTGACACCACACAACCAGCACTGGTCCTGGTACAGTGGCCACAGCGCGCCCACTGCCCACAATCCTATGGCAGCTGTCGCCAGGTGCCCCATGCCAGAGGGTATATACTTCATGTCCTGAGACCGAAGTGCCCATGCTGATGCCTGGGCCTCTGCTCTCGCTGACTGTATGTCCAAAAGACACTGGCTGACAGTACCCCAGGAGACCCACCTCACTGCCAAGAGGCACAGCTGCCTTTCTGGGCTCCCTAGAGCTGCCGTCCCACCCAGGGTGCTTGGCCACATGTGGGACAACAGAGAGCACTGGCAACAGGGACATCATCCCTAGTGGTACCAAGTGACTCCCAGGCAGTACGCACTGGGGGCACCTTTCCCTGTGCCCCTGTACCTGGGCAAGGTTGTCTGGAGCTCCTACTGTAGCATGCGCCAGCACAGGTGAGAAAGGAATGGGTCTTCCAGAGCCCCAGCTGCCCCACCTATGCAGCACCAAGCTCCCACCCAGGCCACCACACCCTCAGCCCACACTGACCTGGCACTGCCTGCTGTCGGCCTCGATGTTGAGTTCCTTGTACTTCTGCAGCATGAGCTCCAATTCTGTTTTCAGGTCAATGGCACGCTTTAGGTGTCCACCATGGGCCGTAACTCGGGTAAATCGCTGCAAAGCCAGGGGAGTCACAAGGGCCCACTCAGTCCAGGAAGCCAGTCTGCACGCCAGGCCCCAAGGGAGGGATGCAGGGCCAGAGGGAGGTGGCTCTCAGCCTGGCCCCGGGCCCCCACGGATGAGCCTCCTGTCTGGCCTTTCTATACACTCTCCTTTTGTCCGCAGCCCTGCCAGTCACACCCTCATTCTGCCAGGCTCTCAGCTTCTGGAGACAGCAGGGGTCAGGGGCCTTCCTCACCTGCACCCAGGAGCTCACGGCCGGAAGGAACTTGTTCTGGATCAGCTTGAGTGCATCTCGGGCAGCATGGAGGACAGCAAGGTTGTCTTCGTTTTCCTGTACCTTCAGACTGTCTGGAAGAGAAAGGGTCAAGAGGACCCTGAAAGCAACTACACAGCGAAGGCTATTGCAGCCCAGGAAACAGGAGGTACCTGCCTACTCCCATCTGCACCCCTGGTAGGGACATTTCAGAGCCCGGGATGGGAGCCCCACACAGACATTGTCTCAGCAGTGCCCACCCCACACTCAGGCTGGCCCTGCCCTCAGCAGGGCCTAAACAGCCACTCAGCCCCTCCTCAGCCACAGAGTCTAGCCTGTGCACCATGGGTTCACAGCATCAAGGAGGGGCCGAGCCCCCACAGTGAGGCTGCCTGCAGAAAGGCAATCTCACTCCTAATACGACAGCCCAGAGCCTGGGACCTGTGGGCTCCTGCAGCAGCCACCTGGCAGCTTCAGCCTGGGGAGGGAGGCTGCTCCACCAGCTCCCAACAGGGCAGCCCATCCAAGGGTGGTGGAGACTCAAAGCCACCAAGCCCAAGGCAGCAGTGTGTGATTGGATCACCCCACCACTGCAAACAGCAGGCAACCATGTCATCACTCTCTCCTCCCAGATGAGGCAAGCAGAACACTTGCCCAGAGCTCCCTGGCCAGTTGTAGCCTCACTTACTCGGACTACAGGAGACAGAGACACTCACAGCCACGGAGGAAATGTCTGAGAATGAAATACCTGGGGTGCTACTTGCAAGCCTGGGCTCTGCTCAGCACAGGACCCCAGGAGGGTGGGAGTGGAGGGTTGGGCAGCACAGGGGACCCTTCACCTGAGGACAGCTCCACAGCCAGCGTGTACTTGTGTGAGCCAAGTCCATGGCTCCGCACAAACTCCTCCAGGTCGCTGTCATCGTCCTCCTCCTCTGAGGGATCCCCCAGCACTACCTGAGGCAGCCCCTCTCCACTGCCAGCAGCTCCTGGGTGGTGTGCAGAAGCAGGCAGGTCTCGGCTGCAGCATGGCTGCTCCTCATCCCAGGGGTTGGAGCCACCAGCCCAAGCAGGGCCTGAGGCATGAGAGACCTCCCCTGCAGATGCCCTGTGGCTTGGGCTGAGGTCCAAGGGCACGAGCAGCCTGAAGCAGTTGTCCACTTCTGTGAGACAGCAGCTGATCTCCTCAGACATCTCTGCGGAGAAATGGAGCCTCTGATGAAGGGCAAAAGGGAACACAGCCCCGAACACCAGGCCTGTGTGCTGCGCGGGCACTGTCCAGCTGCAGACAGGCGAGGGGTCTCTTTCCAAGGGAAAGCCAGAACCCGAGGGCTGGGCTACTGGCTGCTAGCTGGGGCTGGGGATGCTCCTGGAAGCTATGGAAGCACACCTCTCTGTGAGCACAGGATGACCCAAGCCAGGGATGACCAGCTGGGGCACTGTACCCCAGCCACACTGCACTTAGTACCAACATGACTTGCACCCCTCCCTCAGCACAGCCTGCCATCCAAGGGCCCCTGAGGCCTGGGCTGCCACAGAATGGCTGTGGGGATGCCTGTGGGCACTAGTATCTACAGGAGCCTGCACACATGCAGACATGCTCGTCTTGGGGTGTGCTGTAGATAGGCAACTGAACCCCTAGGCCTCGTACCCTGCCTGTGATCTGAATCAGGACTGTTCGCCAAGAAGTGCTCAGGGACTCTGGGAAGGGCATGAGCAGGGCAAGTGGGGCCATGTGGCAAATGGGTGAGGGCTCAGCAGGCACTCAAGGAGACAAGCCTAGACTAGGTTCACACCAGCCTCCCCACAGGGCCTCACAGCAATGACCATGGGGAAAGTCTGCCTGGAGGATAGGCGGCCAAGACAGAGTGCAGAGGGACAGCCCAGGCCAACCCCCCTGTCTGGTGTGCTGGCCCCAGGGCTCTGAGGTCAGTAGAACAGAAGCCCAGGCCCACCCTGGGCAATTACCTTCCATCTCCCTTGCAGCCTGCTCGGCTCTCTCTCCGTAGATTCTGTCCAAGTGCTTCTGCTTTTCCTCTTCCCGCTTTCTTTCTGCCAAAGTCCTGGCATTTACATCCTGGAAGTCTACCTGAGAAATGGCCAAGAAAGATGGGGATTGCTCAGCACGTGCATGCGTGAGTGCACACACACACACACACACACACACACACACACACCCTATGCGGGCAGTGTGTGTCAGGGCCCCCAGGCTTGTTCGTCCATGGAGTTTAAACACTTCACCTTGCTTCTTGGTCTTACATGTTCGCCACCTGAGATTTAAGACGTAAAAACCAAGCCAGGTGTAGTGGTACAGGTGATACCCTAGCACTGGGCAGCAGAGGCAGGAGGATTACAAGTTAAACCCCAGCCTCAGCAACTTAGCAAGACCCTACCTTGAAACAAAAGAATGTAAAGCGGGCTGAGAATATAGCTCAGTGTGAAAGCCATAGGCTCAATCCTCAGCACAGGAGGTTGGGGGTATAAAAAGACTTGCAAGCCCTAGCCAAGCATGGTGGCACACCTGTCATCCCAGCTATTCAGGAGGAAGCAAGACTGTTAAGCCCAGAGTTCAAGGCCTGCCTAGGCAATGCGGTGAGACCCTGTCTCAAAATAAAGACTAAAAAAAAAAAAGTACTTCCAGCTACACCAGCCAGAGGGAGACACAGGTAGGAAGACAGGGCACTCCCTCATTTAGCAGCCCATGGGTAGCCAAGCACAAGTGGACTCAGGGGCCCGGGCACCATCAAGCACGAGCCTGAGAGGTGGCACCCTGCTGGCCCATGGGAAGGCCAAGCCATTTGCTTGTGGCAGGCACACGGCAGACTGGACAGCAATAGGGTTGGATGAGACACAGGAGTGACCCTGGATAGTTTCATCACTCCCCGGACAGCAAGAGTCCACAGTGGGTTCTGAGGGGACTTAAAGTACAAGAGTAGGGCAGCGACCATTCCAGGATGGGGCACATATGAAGCTGGTACCTTGTAGCTGCCGCCCCTCAAGGCAATCCAAATGCCCAAGCCAAGCAGCCCCACCCACCTGGCCTGGGGAACCCTCACTCTCCTTCCTGGGTCACTCCATCCAGCCCTGGGGAACCAGGCAGCACTACTCAAGCCCACTTGCCTTTTTGGTGTATCTCAGGAAGTGGTAGCCCAAGGCTAGCTTCTTATAGGCCTCACCGAAGCGCTGATTCCACCCTTCCACAGCGCGCATGGCTGCCTGCTTCAGCCTCTGGGCTGCCTCCTTGGGAGGTGGCAGGGGCTGTTCAAGGTCCATCCCAAGTGTGAGCTCCAGAAATTCCTGGAAGTCGGAAACGAGCAGCATCCTGAACTGGTGAGACCTGGCGAAGAGCTCATCCACAATTTGGAAAGCAGAGAGGCGGATCTCGGCATGGTCCTGACTCAGCTGGGTCATCAGCAGGCGGTAGGCATGGCTGAGCTGCTCCTCTGAAGACCTGGGGTTACAAGTCAGCCTGATCCAAGTGCCTAGCATTTAAAGGTCAGACCAGCCTATGCTCCTTGTGTAAGGACATTTTTTCACACATGGCAGGGACTGCAGCTGAGGCCCAAGCTTTGTCTTCCTCTGTGGGAACTGTGTTAGTATACCACCAAGCACCAAATGCAGTCACCACGTGGCATATTCCATATGGCCCACGGCCAAGAGTACACTCTATATTCTTAAGGGCTGAACAGCTGCGGGAGTAGGTGAGTGGTGAACACTTCCCTAATACGTGCAAGGTTCTCAGTTTGATCCGCAGCAACCCCCCCATAATCTGATGCATATAAGTGAATTTAACATATAAAACTTATGATTCAAACATTAGTGGCTGTCAACATTCTCACTGGAGGGCCAGTCAGCTAGCTCACCGGACTAAAGCGCCTGCTTAGGCAGGCACAGCAACTGGGGTTGGATCCTCGGCTTGCCATGCCGGCCCCGTCCCGCAGGCCCACTGAGACAGTAATTAAGACTGGGCATGGTGGTGCATGCCTGTAATCCCAGTGGTTGGAAGGCTGAAAACGGGAGCATCACTAAGAGTCCAATCTGTGCAGTGAGACACTGTACTAAATACATAAACAAAACAATCTCACCAGAATCTAATCCCCCCCCCCCATGTATATCACCCATAGCTGCCTCCAGAGCTGAGTGGTGGCAACAGAGCCCTCACGGTGGTGCAGCCCTGTATCACCAGCTGCCCTTTACAACTGGCCTCAGATGGGAACCCAGCCCTGGCCTCCTTGCTTTAAAGGGAAAAGCCCACAGAACTGTCTTGGGGGTCCCTCTTCCCAGCTGCAGCCCAGTGTGAACTGGATTTAGAGGTTTTCTTAGATGTCGAGCAAAACTTGGTCTGACCTGCAGTTTTTTACTGAAATATCAACATTTTTTCACTTTAATAGATGATCACTCAATTTCCTTTGCTTTATAAATACACTATAATCAGTAATCCTAGGTTCATGTTTGAGCACCCAGGAGAAGGGCACAGCAGGATCCCCACAGGTATTTCCTGGGGGGGCAGCGTAAACAAGTTTATGTGCTAAAAATATGGTTCAGTGGTACAGTGCTTGACTAGCACGCTTGTGGCCCAAGTTTCAAGCGCCAGGACCACGAGGGGAGTGGGGAGAGGATAAAGCAACCATTGCACCATGAACTTCTTTCCAGGTTCCAACAATATACATTTACCTATTCATCTATACAGGTGGGACAGGCAAGAAGTAGCCCGAGGACAGCCTGTGTTTTCCCCCCACCCAACAGGGCTGGGGAAACTGTCTGGGCCCTTCCTGTGTGGCTCGGTCCGGGTGGAGACAGGCAGGGACACAAAAATAGCAGAGGGGTGCTGGACTGTGGGGAAACCAGCCACCTCTAAGCCGTCAGGGCTTCGCCTTGCCAGCTACCACAAACGCTGTCCCGATAGACGTACTTGCAGATCTTCTTCAGTTCTTTCATTTTCTCAGGATGCAGCTGAGGTTCTCCTGAAGTGGTGAGCTCTTCTACCAACTTTGGAAGTTTCGGATCCATATCTAGGAACAGGGAGCGCAGCGTCTTGCTCTCACCACTGAATGTTTCTGAGCTCGCCTCCGTACCCGACACTGCGGGAGGCGCCCTGACACTGGGGTCCCGAAGCCCCTGCCACGGAGGGACTCTGGGAAACACGAGCACTCAACGGGCCACTGGCGCGAGTCCAGCAAAGCCTTTCCGAAGAACCGGGAAGTTCCAAAGGTGAGCCGCGTCAGCGCCGGGGCAGCGGTGGACGCGGCCAGGGACCTAGGCCTGAGCAAGCGACGGCGACGCGCGGCGGGCCCCACGGCCACTGCCCAGCCCTAACCCAAGGCGGAGGCGCTGCCCCGGCGACGTCTGACGCTGCAACCCCGCCGCCGCCCGCGGGACCCGGGGCCAGCCTCGCAGACACGGCCGGGCGCGCCGCCTCCGCCCAACCTACCGCACGTCCGGGCCGCTCGCTAGCCCCGCCCCTTCCGGCAGGCGGCCGGGCCGTCACTCACCTAGAGCTCAGAGCCCATTGGTCTGCCCTTGCTCCGCGGCGCAGCGACGAGGGGCCGGCCCCAGGACGCCTTCTCACCTCCTGGGCGCCCCGCCGCGCCCGCCCCGCCCCCGCCAAGCCCTCCCCGCCCCCGCCAAGCCCGCGCCACCCCGCCCCTTCCAGCGCAGGCCCTGCCAACCTCCCATCACGTGCCCCAAGCTCCCATCACGTGCCCCAAGCTAGCTAGCCAATGGTTTGCAGGCGCAGGCGTGACGGCAAGGTGGAGTTCTGCGGGGTGACGCACAGGCTTCGGGGGAAGGAGGCGGGGCGACCGGAGGGCTCTGGCGCGCGAGAAAAAGGAGGCGGGAGGGCTCAGCAAGTCTTTAAAGGGGCAGCTGGTGCAGGAGCAGTGAGTGGACGCTGAGCCGCGGACTGCTGGGCCACCTGGAACACCGAGGTTCCAGTGGTTGGTATGACCTGGGCCTCATTACCACGGCTGTCTGAAAGCTCGCAACCCTCTGCACCATCCCCAGGGTGGCTCAGGTGGGAGCTATCGGGATGCTGTGGCTGGCAGGTCTGGAAGGGGTGCCGACCATAGCCCCAGCATCCTGGCTGGACTGGCCCTGGGAGGTTGTGTCTTCAGAGTGTGATATGCAAGGAGAGGGGACCCTCAGGGCGCCTGCTCCCCAGGGTCATCTTATCCTGGGCGTCAGTACGTGCCGGTGCATCCCCTCCTGCAGCTACAGGTCCCTGGCCCCCTGCAGCGACATAGCCCCCAGTCCCCCCCCCCTCGCAGTTTACTGCAGGCGTCAGATCCCTGTGAACACGGGATGGCCTGTAAGGTTCACCTGCAGATGTCAGTCCTTCTGCCCCTTCCTGGCAGCCAACAGCGTCCAGAAATTATATCCTCTGTCCTCCTGGGGCAATAAGCAGAGTCACCCCAACCAGTCCATTTGTGAACCTGACAGCCCCACTTTAGAGTGCATCCCACCACCTCAAGTCCAAGCCCAGCCCCTGCCTCGTGCCCTCTCTAGTGCACTCCATACAGCAGCCAGTGCCCTTTAGAGGCTGGGGTCAGATCCCGTGGCTCCTAGCCCTCAGCCGCAGGAGCCACTCAGGAGTGCTACCAGGGCTTGCCAGCCGCTCTCCCTGGGTGGGGCCTTGGGACCTGCTGGCATGGGAGAACTCACACTCTTCAGTTCCTGGGCCTGCTCTCAGCAACACCCTCCCCTGTTTTACTGCTTCCCACAGCACTGGGCCTTTTGTCCCGGGCTCTGTTCCTTTTTCCTCCACCAGGGTCTGCTTGCTCACAGCAAGGATCTTTATTTTATTCCATAAAGAAAGCAGAGCCCTGGAAATGATGGAACTGGATAAATATATCTTATTTCAACTTTCTTTTCTAGATTGCTGACTGCAAAATGGATCCTAGGGTACATAACATGTAGAAAAAATTATAACCACAGAATCCCAAAGGACAGGGTGAGGGCTCAGGAGATAGCTCGGTGGCCTAAGCACCTGCCTTGCAAGGGCAAGGACCCAGGTTCGATCCCTGGTACCACATGCCATGTTGGCCACCGAAACTGGGCATGGTGGTACAGTTCTGTAATCCCAGTGCTGGGGAGGCTGAGACAGGAAGATCACTATGAGTCTGAGAAGCATAGTGACTCATAAAATAAATATGACCCTGTATTAAATAAATAAGAATCCACAGGACAGGTGACAGAAATGTTAGTATATGTAGGTCGCTACGCTTTTACATGATGTGGTTGTTATGGTTTAAGTCTAAAATGCTCCTCCAGAGGCCTGGTTGAGGGGTTGGTCACTGGGTGTGACCTGACAGGCTGCACTGTCTTCCCCAGCCGCTCCCCACTCTCCCTCTTCCTGGCTGCCTGCGGTAAGCTGCTCTCCTCCACCACGCCAGTCTGCATGCTGCTTCTGCCTTGCATTCAGCTGACCAGGCCTTGAATCCACTGGACCTCCGAGCCAAGACGAATCTCTCCCAAGTTGAACATAGTTGCAAAACATCCCTAGCAAAATCCGGTTTTTTTTTTTTCGGAACCGGGGATTGAACTCAGGCTCTTGTGCTTGTCAAGGAAGCGCTTATTCCACTGAGCCATCTCCCCAGCACCCCCCACATCTTTTTCTTTTTTTTCCTAGCAAAATCCTGGCAGGCCAAATCCAGCAATATGTAAACACTGTCCTAAATGTGAGTATGTGGGATTTACCTTGGCAATGCTGTTTAACTGCCTGCAATCAGTATAACTGCCCATATGAACAGAATAAAGAAGGATCATGATAATTTTATCGCATAAGGAAGCACTTTGACAAAGTCCAACATCTACTCATGGGTATAACTCTTAGGAACTGAAAGTGGACTCCCTCAGCCTGGTAAAGGACATTTGCAGAAAGCCCACAGCAACAGTCCCACTTAACTGTGCAACACTCCAGGGTCTCCTGCTAGGCTGGAGCCGCCACTCCCACCCTGTGCTCCATGCTGCGCTGCAGCCCCAGCCACCTCGGCAGAGGAAGAGTAGAGCGGAGCACTCGGCGGGAGGGGGGAATCCAGGCCTTGGAGAACTGCAAAACCTTACCATGGCCTCAGAAGAAGGCTGCACAGTGTTACGGTTCGGTTCGTGTCTAGTTGTTCCCCAGAGCCTCCAGTAAGTCACAGGGCAGATGTGGCTGGAGCAGCCACTTGGCTTGAGGCTTGAGGGGCGGGCCCGAGGGGCGCGCTGTTAGACTGGCACCCGCGCTCTGCACCCTCTCCCAGGCCTGCGGTCCCTCGGAGGTGTGGAGCAGTCGTCCTGGACCCTGCGGCGCCCTAGCCTCTCCTCCAGACCCTGTAGCGCAGGGCAACAGTTTGCGATTGAGGCTACCTTAGGCAGAGGAGATGCTTGGAGAAGACAGAGGCACTGACCCTCTCACCTGAGCAAATAACACTCCAAGGTCGCCAGCCTCATAGCTCAGCGGACCAAAGCGCCTGCTTGGGCAGAGCGCAGGGGCTGAGGTTCGATCCCTAGGCCTGCCGAGCCGGCCCCGCCCCTGGGGGTGCTGAGATGGCGATTGAGACTGGGCGTGGTGATGCGTGCCTGTAATCCCAGCTCTCGGGAGGCTGAAAACAGGAGAATCACTACGAGTCCAATCTAGTAGTGAGACCCTGTAGACCCTGCAGAACCTGTCCTAAATACAGAAATAATAATAATAATAATAATAATAATAATAATAATAAGACTCCAAGGTCTTGCTACATAATTCAGGCTGTTTCAAACTATGAAACCTCCAGTAATTGTGAGCTAAATAAACCTTTCCTTCCTTTATTTTGATTGTCAGGTATTTGTCCCAAATGAGAGAAGAATAACTGAGCCACACAGGATAAGTAGATCAGCGTGCAAACACCCATCATGTGTCTTCAGATGATGAATGGATAATTGGAGGAGTAGGTTTAAAATATCTGTAATAATATTAAATCTCATGACATAGAGTTAAATTAACAAAATATGTATACTAAAAACTATAAAACTGAGATGAAAGGCTGATTCCTAGAGACATACGCATGGGTCGAAGGACAACATTGTAAGACTTAAGTTTCTGCTGTGGACTGAACTACACTCCCCCAGATTCATAAACTGAAGGCTCCAGTGTGCCTGCACTTGCAGAGGCCTCTGAAGAGCAGGGAAGGTAAGGAGGAGATGAGCTCCGGGACCTAACGGGCTAGAACCGGCCCGCGGGAAAGGACGTGTGAAGGCATGGGGCGGTGACCAGCGGCCACTAGAAGCTGGAGAGGGGCCGCGCCACAACCAGGCCTGCCTGCACCTCCTGTGGAGCCACGGGGAAATAAATTTGTCATTTTTGTTGGGACAAGGTCTCACCATGAAGCCCAGGCTGGCCTTTATGTTCCTGCCTCAACCACCAGGTCTGACTATGCTCTGTTCTTTAAGCCATTCAGGCGGGCAGTTCTTACACAGCCTGAGCTAACAATGCAGTTGCCAAGCAAACCCACAGATTTATTGCAATTCCAGTTGAAGTCCCAGTTTGCCTTCAAAAATTTCAATACAAGCTGATTTTAAATTTGATGTGGAAATGCAGATCTTGGGCCGTTAAAACAAGTTTGATCACTGACAGGCAATAGTGTCAGTTCTACATCTGACAAAGTACTTCAGGAATACGGAAAGAACTTCTAAAACCATTACAAGTAATGCACCCAAGATTGCAAAAGGTGTAGCTAGACTCCTGGCTAACAGGCAGCCTGAGCAAAGGAGGCTGTTAGGAATCAGAAGCAGCAGACCCAGCCCCGGGGAAACAGGAGCAAGCCCGTGGGGCAGAGTGACCACACCAACCGTTGGCAAGTGTGCAGCACCCGGCACATGCAGACACTGCGATCAGGACAGGCTAATAGGCTACCCTGGCCGGTTTTGTTTTCTGAGACAGAGTCTCTGTGCCATTCAGGCTGGCCTTGAACTCACTATATAACCCGAGGCCTCGACTTCATAGCAATCCTCAACCTCAGCTCCTGAGTGCTGGGATTGTGGGCATGTGCTACCACACCCAGCACCCCTGGAGGTTTTAATATGGGCAGACAGCTTCATGTCTCAGCAGTTCTACTTCCTAAAGATTCCTTCCAGAGACGTGAAAATAATACCTACAAAAAAGATCTGCCAACAAATCAGAGTGCCTTTAGTTCACTGTAGCCCCAAATTGGGAATAACTAAAGCAGATATCCATCAAGAAGAGTGTAGGGCTGGTGGTATAGCTCAGCAGACTAAGTACCTGCTTAAGTAAGTACAGGGCCAGGGTTCAATCCCTGGCACTGCATGCTGCACAGCCCCCACCCCTGGGCAGATTACGGGTCCACACCTGTAATCCCAGCACTAGGGAGGCAGAAATCAAGAGGATCATTACGAGTTTGGGTTTGAGTCGTGTAGTGAGACCCTGCACAAAAACAAACAA